GGAGATACCATCTCACACATAAATATACTATTAGTTCATATAGACACCTCAACCTGTCTTCAATACAGCAACCATAACATCCAACTCATCGTCCTATATGACCTATCTAACAGACGATCAAATGCACCACTCGCAATTCGCAAACAAAAACAGATATCGTTGAACCTGGACCCCCCTTGTTGCACCCAAAACGGAGCCTAACTGAATTAACCAGGTCAAGGAGCAGAGACTTCGGTGCACAATCCTCACCTCCGCCCTGCTCAGAATCCACTACACGTACCAACCCCATGAAGAACCACAACTATCCATGCCAGTCAAGATGACCCGAAGCACGCCCGCTAGGAAATAGAGGGTTAGCGGTTTTATTCAACTTTTAATAAGAGGGGGAGAGAGGGAGAGTACCACATCGCCGACGACTGCGAGGCGGACGCGGCCGGCTCCGGCGCCGGCGCCGGAGGAGGCCATGGACCTGGACCCGAGCATGGGCGGCGGCGTGGCCGGGGAGGAGGGGAGAGGAGGAGGTCTCGCGGGGGCGCGCGCGGCTACTGCTGCTGCTCCCGCCGCCGACCAAGAAGAAAGGGAGCAAGACCGCACGAACATTCTTGTTTCGGGTTGGAGTCGTATTGGGTGCGTGCCAGGCTCGAACTGCCCTGCGGTAGGTGCACGGTGCATACGCGCGCGAGCATGGTGGCTCACCTGGCTGTCAATGTTCTTCTATGGGAATAAACCATCTAGAGAAAAGGTGTATTCTGATGGGAATATAAGCTTGGCTTGGGTCTTTTTTGTCTTCAATTTAACTATTTTCTATCTTTAAACACAGTACTGACGCAAGCGCCCATATGTGTTGTATGTCATAAAGAAAATCTTTGAATTTGTCGTCGATTGAAATTTCAAAATATTTACTTTTTTTTGGTATATGACACGTGTTTTGCTACTAGTTAAATTGATGACCTAAAATCTCATGTCCGGCTTATATTCCTATCCAGAGGGAGTATCATTCTTCAACAAGCGGTTGATATAACATCTTTTGACAACATCTTTTGACCATGACACCACTATTCTTTTAATCACACATCAACGCCTCGACTTGTCCAGCCTCAAGCCAATGATGAGGAGGCAAGACACACAACAATCAAGATGTGTCACAAATCGATGTCGGAGACCTCTACAACACGAGGCTCTAGAGCAGTCTGGGTCAATACACCCCTCATCCATACACCTAAGAATAATCCGCGTGTGGATGACAGGTCTGGTCAGAGTTGTGAAGAAGTTATGAAGGAATCATTGACGATGGGGATACACTGCGCCTAGACGCCCACACCCTGAGAAGCGGCCAACCCTAACTACATCAGCGGTACCTCCAAAGAGGGGGCAAAGTCGTGGCACCGCTGCCTGTTAGAATATATTTGAGGCCACTGTCGATCATCCAGGACCAAGCAATCACACGAGCACGACACCGAGATTTGTTAACGAGGTTCGGCGAACTCGCCTACATCCGGGGGGGGGAGGAGATACCATCTCACACATAAATATACTATTAGTTCATATAGACACCACAACCTGTCTTCAATACAGCAACCATAACATCCAACTCATCGTCCTATATGACCTATCTAACAGACGATCAAATGCACCACTCGCAATTCGCAAACAAAAACAGATATCGTTGAACCTGAACCCCCCTTGTTGCACCCAAAACGGAGCCTAACTGAATTAACGAGGTCAAGGAGCAGAGACTTCGGTGCACAATCCTCACCTCCGCCCTGCTCAGAATCCACTACGCGTACCAACCCCATGAATAACCACAACTATCCATGCCAGTCAAGACGACCCGAAGCACGCCCGCTAGGAAATAGAGGGTTAGCGGTTTTATTCAACTTTTAATAAGAGGGGGAGGGAGGGATAGTGCCACATCGCCGACGACCGCAAGGCGGACGCGGCCGGCTCCGGCGCCGGCGCCGGAGGAGGCCATGGACCTGGACCCGAGCTTGGGCAGCGGCGTGGCCGGGGAGGAGGGGAGAGGAGGAGGGCTCGCGGGGGCGCGCGCGGCTACTGCTGCTGCTCCCGCCGCCGACCAAGAAGGAAGGGAGCAAGACCGCACGAACATTCTTGTTTCGGGTTGGAGTCTTATTGGGTGCGTGCCAGGCTCGAACTGCCCTGCGGTAGGTGCACGGTGCATACGCGCGCGAGCACGGTGGCTCACCTGGCTGTCAATGTTCTTCTGTGGGAATAAACCATCTAAAGAAAAGGTGTATTCCGATGGGAATATAAGCTTGGCTTGGGTATTTTTTGTCTTCAATTTAACTATTTTTTATCTTTAAACACAGTACAGATGCAAGCGCCCATATGTGTTGTATGTCATAAAGAAAATCTTTGAATTTGTTGTTGATTGAAATTTCAAAATATTTACTTTTCTTTGGTATATGACACATGTTTTGCTACTAGTTAAATTGATGACCTAAAATCTCATGTCCGGCTTATATTCCTATCCAGAGGGAGTATCATTCTTCAACAAGCGGTTGATACAACATCTTTTGACAACATCTTTTGACCATGACACCACTATTCTTTTAATCACACCTCAACGCCTCGACTTGTCCAGCCTCAAGCCAATGACGAGGAGGCAAGACACACAGCAATCAAGATGTGTCACAAATCGATGTCGGAGACCTCTACAACACGAGGGTTCTAGAGCAGTTTGGGTCAATACACCCCTCATCCATAGACCTAAGAATAATCCGCGTGTGGATGACAGGTCTGGTCAGAGTTGTGAAGAAGTTATGAAGGAATCATTGACGATGGGGATACACTGCGCCTAGACGCCCACACCCTGAGAAGCGGCCAACCCTAACTACATCAGCGGTACCTCCAAAGAGGGGGCAAAGTCGTGGCACCGCTGCCTGTTAGAATAAATTTGAGGCCACTGTCGATCATCCAGGACCAAGCAATCACACGAGCACGACACCGAGATTTGTTAACGAGGTTCGGCGAACTCGCCTACATCCGGGGGGGGGGAGGAGATACCATCTCACACATAAATATAATATTAGTTCATATAGACACCACAACCTGTCTTCAATACAGCAACCATAACATCCAACTCATCGTCCTACATGACCTATCTAACAGAAGATCAAATGCACCACTCGCAATTCGCAAACAAAAACAGATATCATTGAACCTGAACCCCCCTTGTTGCACCCAAAACGGAGCCAAACTGAATTAACGAGGTCAAGGAGCAGAGACTTCGGTGCACAATCCTCACCTCCGCCCTGCTCAGAATCCACTACACGTACAAACCCCATGAAGAACCACAACTATCCATGCCAGTCAAGACGACCCGAAGCACGCCCGCTAGGAAATAGAGGGTTAGCGGTTTTATTCAACTTTTAATAAGAGGGGGGAGGGAGGGAGAGTACCACATCGCCGACGACCGCGAGGCGGACGCGGCCGGCTCCGGCGCCGGCGCCGGAGGAGGCCATGGACCTGGACCCGAGCTTGGGCGGCGGTGTGGCCGGGGAGGAGGGGAGAGGAGGAGGTCTCGCGGGGGCGCGCGCGGCTACTGCTGCTGCTCCCGCCGCCGACCAAGAAGAAAGGGAGCAAGACCGCACGAACATTCTTGTTTCGGGTTGGAGTCGTATTGGGTGCGTGCCAGGCTCGAACTGCCCTGCGGTAGGTGCACGGTGCATAGGCGCGCGAGCATGGTGGCTCACCTGGCTGTCAATGTTCTTCTGTGGGAATAAACCATCTAAAGAAAAGGTGTATTCCGATGGGAATATAAGCTTGGCTTGGGTCTTTTTTGTCTTCAATTTAACTATTTTTTATCTTTAAACATAGTACAGACGCAAGCGCCCATATGTGTTGTATGTCATAAAGAAAATCTTTGAATTTGTCGTCGATTCAAATTTCAAAATATTTACTTTTTTTGGTATATGACACGTGTTTTGCTACTAGTTAAATTGATGACCTAAAATCTCATGTCCGGCTTATATTCCTATCCAGAGGGAGTATCATTCTTCAACAAGCGGTTGATACAACATCTTTTGACAACATCTTTTGACCATGACACCACTATTCGTTTAATCACACCTCAACGCCTCGACTTGTCGAGCCTCAAGCCAATGACGAGGAGGCAAGACACACAGCAATCAAGATGTGTCACAAATCGATGTCGGAGACCTCTACAACACGAGGGCTCTAGAGCAGTCTGGGTCAATACACCCCTCATCCATACACCTAAGAATAATCCGCGTGTGGATGACAGGTCTGGTCAGAGTTGTGAAGAAGTTATGAAGGAATCATTGACGATGGGGATACACTGCGCCTAGACGCCCACACCCTGAGAAGCGGCCAACCCTAACTACATCAGCGGTACCTCCAAAGAGGGGGCAAAGTCGTGGCACCGCTGCCTGTTAGAATAAATTTGAGGCCACT